TTATAGAGAAATCTATTGGAGGCCCAGATAATTTATTTTGACACAATTGCTTCTAAAAATAACATTTCTTTGCCCCTTCAAATCATCTGCTGCTCTCAGACACATTCCCAAGGAGAAAACACACACACATACACACATGCGCACGCGCACGCGCGCGCGCGCACACACACACACACACACACACACATGCTTACCCAACTCTAAGCATCTAAAAGATGTCATAAATTAAGTAATGAGATACTAAGCTTGACAGCTGCACTATCTAGAAAAAAAAAAGTCTACTTAGAAATTCCATACGCCACACTGGGTACACTAAACTCTTGTCTGCCCAAGGTGAATGAATACTGCTTTACATACTAAAGAGCACATGTAATTAAATATAGCAGAAGCCAAATCTTGCTTTATTTTCATGATAACTGGTTTGTATTTAACACATACACACAAAATATTACATCAGGCTATCACATATACACAAAAAATAACTTATCAGCTAAACCAAAACTCCTTTGTTTCCCAACTTATTCTATCTTCAAAACCATGATGAGTTTTGTTTTATACATTTGTTAAATGTCTCACATGTTAAAAATTAACAACACTATTTCCATTTTTCTTACCATGCCAAAAAAAATATGTTTTGTGTTAATGTTAAAATTTACGTAATAGTCTTTTGGTGGGGGAAGTCGTGTGTATATGTTTAACAGAATCCTGATCCTTAAGCGTTTAGATACTGGACACTTGGGCTTTAAGTTCTTAATCATAAATTTAAGTGGATATTGTACAATTCATAACTTAGATGGCAAACATGGTTAAATTGACCATGTCCCAAAGGTAGCAATACTAGAAAGTGTGTTCCTACTTTCCCTCTATCTTGAAGTAGGGCCCCTTGAAAAAAAGGGGCCTATATATATCCATTTCCTATGCAGATACAATCAGAAGATACTACTTTTTATAATTAGCTTGATCCAGGGGTAATATAAAACCTAAGTGCCAAGGATATCCTGATATTTAGAAAATTGTAGCCTTATACTTTCACAATAGTAGCTTAAACTGGTAACTGATTTGGGCTTCTTCAGTTTGTACCCACCTGTATGCTGTGTGCATCAATAACTCTCACCCATTTTCTGATATTCAAAGGTTCTATCTAGATGATTTGAGAAGTCAGAACCTCTCTCCAGAAGGCTTCTTGCCTTGCTGGGGAAGGAAGACATAGCACACGTCCTTGAACTCTACAGAGGATGCACAAGTGTTTCTCTTTCTGCAGCATAATATTCGGTGACTCAATTATTTCCTTTACATTTTTCTCCTCTCTCCACTAGTGTTGTGGCTTAGCTAAAACAGTGTCCTTGATGTCTAAAATGTCCAGGATTTCAAGACAATATCTGTATACTACTTTGTGTCATTCCTGTCCCCTCCCCCCGTAAAAACCATGTATTCACCAATCTTACCGAAATTGCTGCTACACTTTTGCTTTCTAATACAGTAAAATACTCCAAGTTCTAATCAAGACTACAACATTTGAATTAGTGATTCAAAAACTGTGTGCGTGTGTGTGCTGCTTCATAACAGAGTGACCCTAGCTGCAAGCCAAAGCTCTGAGGGACAGGTTAAACAAACTACGGTATATTCATATAATTAACTGTCAGGACTGTAATACAAACAACCCTTATGAATGATGTTTAAATGGCATAAGAGCATGCTCATACCAAAAATAAGTTTTTTTGAGATAGTCTCACTCTTTTCACCTGGGTAGAGTGCTGTAGCATTATAGCTCACAGCAACCTGAGACTCCTGGGCTCAACCCCTCTGCTTGCCTCAGCCTCCTAAGCAGCTGGGACTACAGGTGTCCTCTCACAAAGCCTTGCCAGTTTTCTATTTTTAGTAGAAGTAGGGTCTCATTCTTGCTCAGGCTGGTCTGACACCCGAGCTCAAGTAACCTGCCCTTCTCGGCCTCCTAGGGTGCTAGGATTAACAGGTGTTAGCCACCATGCTCAGCCCAAAAATTTTAATTAAAAGAAATTATCGGGCTCAGTGCTCATAGCTCAGTGGTTAGGGTGCCGGCCACATACACTGGGGCCGGCGGGTTCAGACCCAGCCCAGGCTTGCTAAACAACAATGACAACTACAGCAATAACAACAAAAATAGCTGGGCACTGTGGTGGGTGCCTGCAGTCCCACCTACTTTTATAAAAAAAAAAAAGAAAAAAAATTATCAGTCCAGGCACAACGGCTCATGCCTTGTAATCCCAGCACTATAGGAGACTGAGGCAGAAGGATCGCTTGTAGGCAGGAGTTCCAGATCAGCCTAGGCAGCATGGTGAGACTCTATCCCTACCAAAAAAAAAAAATTGTTTTTAAACTGACTGGGAATGGTGGTACACACCTGTAGTCCCAGCTACTGAGGAGGCTGAGGCAGGAGGATTACTTGAGCCTGGGAGTTTGCAATTACAGTGAGCTATGATCACAGCACTTCACTCCAGTGTGGACAACAGAGCAAAACTGTTTTTTTTTTTTTGAGACAGACTCTCACTTTGTCACACTCAATAGAGTGCTGCAACATCACAGCTCACAGCAACCTCTAACTCTTGGGTTTAAGAAATTCTCTTGCCTCAGCCTCCCAAGTAGCTGGGACTACAGATGCCTGCCACAACACCTGGCTATTTTTTGTTGCAGTTTGGCCTGGGCCAGGTTTGAACCTGCTACCCTCAGTATATGGGGCCAGCACCCTACTCACTGAATGGGTAGAATGCAATGGCATCATAGCTCACACCAACTTCAAATTCTTGGGTTTAAGTGATCCTCTTGTCTCAGCCTCCCAGCTAGTGGGGACTACAGGCGCTGGCCACAAAGCCCAGGTAGTTTTTCTATTTTAGTAAAGACAGGGTCTCACTTTGTTTAGGCTGAGCTAGAATTCCTGAACCACAAGCAATCCACCTGCCTCAGCCTCCCAAAGTGCTAGGATCATAGGCATCAGCCACCACCCCCCACCTTGATCTCATATTTAGATTGCATGATGATAACTAGTACCTAAACTGAGAGGTAGGATTAAAAATTCTAAAATAACCTAAAAATTCTAAAATATCTGTTTTAGTCCATTCATCATTTTCAAACATGAAATTTGTATAGCACTTTATCCAAAGTATCATCAAATAGAAACACACCTAACCACATATGCATTACTCAAAATATGTAACACTAATTTCAGAAATGTTTATTCAAATCTGCAAAAAGAAAACATGGTAGGATAATGAAAAGCCAATGCTGATGAGTCCTTTAAAAAGCTTACAAAAAATTATCATTGTCACTAAACTTAAAACAGCTACAGTGATCTGTATTTTCTACAAAAATAAAAATCACTTTCATTTCTAACACAAAGCACACAAGCAGATATAGTTATATTTTCTTATATTTTAAAATAATTCTTACGGGTTTTCAAGTACAAGCTAAGGCTTAGGTCAGTTTTTCTCTGTTAGAGTGTATTTTCAATTCCTCAAATATTGTTTCGAGAGGTGTTACAGCCTCTGTTAAACACAGGCCATTCAAGCTAGCAAGTACAAAAAATACGGTTCTTTATGTTTTAGCTCTTCACTGCAAACCCCATTACAATCTGTTAAAGTAGATTAGAGAATACATAAGTGTAGTTTTTAAAGAAGTCAAACAGGGTAATAAATCATTGGTAATAATATTAAGTCCCAAAAAAGAAAGTCATTTTCTAACAAATATCAAAAACAAAAGTAAATAAAAATTCAGGCTCTAGATTACAACCCTACTTTTTAAATTCCATACAACAATCTTAACTTTTAACCTTCACATTTCAAACCTACAGAACCCAAGTATCAGAGTTACCTACAATCACGTTAAAGCGCTTTTTAAAGTCTCAGAAACTTAAATTCAATGCGGGAAAGCTAAAAGTCAAAGAGAAAAAGACAAAACTGAGAAAGAGAGGAAAAAGTGAAGAGGTTATGCTGTTTTACTAAATATCAAACTTTTACAGAAATCCAAAACCTATTTAGCAATTTCTGTATGCAAACAGAATAACTTCTATGTAAAAAGTGCATGTTTGAATGCAGTCATTTATTAGTATGCATTCTACTTACTTTGCTTTTTGCCATTCAGAAGCTTCATTAAAGACAACCACAAAGAGGTAACCAGTTGAATGAGGTTCGGTTCAGAGACGAAAAGCTAGTCAATATGACCTACAAATTTACATCCCAGAACGTCCTGTGCAGAAAGTACCCTTTACAAACTACCATTATATATACAAGCTTTAGATTGTGAAATATAGGAGTTGGGCTTTCAATCTTGAACCTTACAATTACAAACTCTCGTATCTATCCTCCCCTCTCCTCAAAAAAAAAAAAATCCACCTCCAATCCGCATTGGTCCACATAGTTCCGGCCCACATGGTATCAGTGGGTGTGTCCTCCCCAAAGCGCCTTCTCATTGGCTGTGAAGAAACAGCTTTTAAGAGGCTGTGATTTGGGAGGTCATCAAACTCCACGCCTCCAGACTTGCGCTCGCCAATAGAGCCAAGATACTGGTGGCTACTCTGCGATTCAAAGGGCAGTCTGGTCGCCAGAGCTGCAGCCCTAGTAAGACACCCGAAGAGAGATGGGCTAGGAGAGGGCAAACTCAACTGTGCTGCCCGCTCCAGCCCCACTTCTGGACCCCACCAAATGTTCACATACATGCATTATTCCAGCAACCAATTAGAAGGGCGTTTGCCTTTTATAGAGCTTTGGCATAAGGACCACTTCAAGCTACCGTGTCCCATCGGCCCATTCTGCAGATAGGAGCGAGCAAATGGCTGGCTCAAGCAATGATCTTTAGTGCTTGGTGCCCCTGGGGAAAGAATCCATCCCAGGCGCCCCTCAGTTCAGTCTCTCGCCCGCAGGCGCTGGGGCGCCCGAGGCGCGCTTCTGAGCCTGCCCAGCCGCTCGTGGTCCCGGGTTCCGCGCGCTGCGCTAGACTCGCGCCCGCGCTCCCCTCCCAGCGGGACTTACGCGGCCTGTTCTTCCTCCCCGAGTCCATCCTCCTCCGCAGCCGGCATTTCTTGGCCGGTGAATCGTGCTGAGGGAGCAGCGACTGCGGCTGGAGCTCCGGCAGGAGCGGGAGGCGTGGGGGCGTAGCGTCGCCGCCGCCCCCGGGGCCCCGGCTGCAGACGAGCGGAGACGAGACTGGCGCTGAGTGGAAGCCGTTGTGCAGCAGCCCGTTCACGGCGGCGCGGGTGCTCGGGGGTGCCCCTAGGGAGTGCGGGGCCAAACGATCCGGCTGCCCGCTGCGGTCGTCCATGCCGGAGGTTGGCGGGGCTGCACGCGGGCCCCGACTCAGGTGGCCTCGCTGGAGGTCATTCTCGGGCGTCTTTATATCCCCAGATCCTCCCTGCGGTTTCCGATTCAGCAGCCGCAGAGCCGGCGCCAGGGGATGGCTAACCCGGCGCTCCTCCCCTCCTCCCGCGGACTCCCCCACCTCCTCAGCGCCCTGCCCCCCGCGCGCTGATCTCGTGGCGCTGGCCTGGAGCATGCCTGCCCCGGGCGCGGAATCGGGGATCCCCGCGCACCCCCAGCCGCCTGCCTCCTCCCGATCTCCCAGCCGCGCGACTTCAAACGCGGCTTTCTCGCCTCCCAGACCTGTCCCAGCCACTGAGCATGCCCAGTCCTGTCCGCCACCGCCACCGACGAGTTTCAACATGGGGAATGAAGTTCTCTAGGCTTGCAAAGGAGATGGGCGGGTTGGGCTTTGTATGGCGGAGCGAGCAGAGAGGGTACTGGGCGAGGCAGGCGGGAGAGCAGCAAGCTGTTTTGGAAGGAATGCGGGAGGAAGATAAATATTTGCAAAGGTTTCAATTTTACTAATCTTGTCCTTAGTGGGCAAGATACCTTTGCAAGGTCACTCACGTTGCCCTCCCCCACTTTGTGAGTATGCTTACGCGCGCTCGCGCCCACAGTTGCCTGTGTATTTGGTTAAGTGACCAAACTACTCAGAGGCCTGAGGGGAGGGAGGAGAGCAATTATTTATAGAAAAGTAGGCAGACTTGGAGAGGGAGGGGAGTGAAATTTCTTTGCTGGCACACATACACAAATACCATGTGGTCTCATGGAATAGTCTTTTGCAGGGAGGAAACCTAGGAATACAGTGTAAGGACAGTGAAGGACAAAACTGTAGGCAGGATTAACGGGTGCTGGAAGAGACCAAGTAAACAGGAGCAAGCTTATGCTATAAAAAGCACTCTCCTCACCCAGAAAGGACTTTAAAAGACGATGTCATGTTATTTATAAAGTAAGGAATTGCCTCTTTTTTAAGAAGGGAAGGCAGCATAACATGGTGTTTAACATCTTGAGCTTTGGAATTAGCGCTGGGTTTAAATTCCAACTCAGCTCCTGAGCAAACGCACAAAAAGTTACTGCTCCAGTTAACAAGCTAAGCACTAGGAAGTAGGACTGGGCATGCTCAGTAGGCAGAACAAGTTTGGGTGGTACCTTTCCAAAGTTAGGTATCCCTTGAGGCCTCAGCTTTCCTCTTTGTAACCAGGGGCCGTTGTCAGGAGATCTACCTAAAAGTACATGATACAATCTTGGCACACAGTACATACTCAAAAGAGGTAATTGTTCTTACCCTATTTTTATTAGTTTGCCTTTATTTTGAGTGAGGGGCACAAACCAGGGTCACACCCATATTTATGATGTGATTTATTGTGTGTGATATTGTCCATGATGTGTAAGAGGCAGGCAAGTGCTCACTGGCCACTGGGGTTGCTGGCCCTGGGCCTCAGTGCATTGAGCAGTGAGGAGGGCTTGCAACTTGGATTGGCAATTCCTTCCATCAGGGTCTTTTTTTTTTTTTTTTTGAGACAGAGTCCCACTCTGTCACCCTGGATAGAGTGCCTTGACATCATGGCTCACAGCAACCTCAAACCCTTGGGCTCAAGTGATTCTCTTGCCTCAGCCTCCCAAGTAGCTGGGACTAGGTCTGGCTGTTGCTTAGGCTGATCTGGAACTCCTGAGCTCAGGAGATACCTTGGCTTTGGCCTCCCAGAGTGCTATAAATACAGGTGTGAGCCACCTTGCCTGGCCTATCAGGGTCTTATCTAGAATCAGAGCTTTACAGCCACAGAGGCCACTTGAGAGCTCTAGTACATCCATTCTTTCACATTTTTTTTCAGATAAGGAAACTAGGCCATAGACAGATTGCTGAGATTATTAAGAACAAAGCTAAGGGCTCCATGCCTATAGCTCAGCCGCTAGGGTGCCAGCCACATACACCAGAGCTGGCGGGTTCTAATACAGCCTGGGCCTGCCAAACAACAAATACAACAAAAATAGCCAGGCATTGTGGCAGGCACCTGTAGTCCCAGCTACTTGGGAGGCTGAGGCAAAAGAGTTCCTTAAGCCCAAGAGTTTGAGTTTGCTTTGAGCTGTGATGCCACAGCATTCTAACCAGGGTGACATAGATTCTATCTCAAAAAAAAAAAAAGAACCAAGCTAGGACTAGAACCCAAATCTCAACTGTCTCTGCTTCTCTCACCTTCTCATAGTATTTGAAGACATAGAGGAAAAAATGTATGTGATCTGACCCATGCCTACCTCTCCTGCCTCCTCTTGGGTGCCCTGTGCTACCTTCAGTTCCTCAAATATCTTGCCTCTGATGTTTCTACTGTCTGCAATTCTCTTCACTCACAGCTCTTTTGTCTACTAAATTCCAACTCACTTAGACCTCTCCCATTTAGAGAAACCTTCCCTGACCTTTGGGACTACATTAGGTCTTCCTGCTGTATGCATGTGCTATTCCTTATGTTCCCTTCATGACCCCTTATCAGTTAGTAACTATACAACACATCCCCTCCCTCATTTGTAAACTGGGGTAATAATAGGATATAACTGAATTGTTACAATAATGAAATGAATTAATATATGTATGAAATTAAATAATTTGAACTTAAAGCTGCTTTAAATTATTCTGAGCCTTTTTTAGTTTGTTTTGTTTGAGACAGAGCCTCAAGCTGTCGCCCTGGGTAGAGTGCCATGGCATCACAGTTCATAGCAATCTCCAAACTCCTGGGCTCAAGCAAGTCTCCTGACTCCACCTCCCAAGTAGCTGGGATTACAGGCACCCGCCACAACACCTGGCTATTTTTTTTGGTTGCAGCCATCATTGTTATTTGGCGGGCCGGGGCTGGATTTGAACCTGCCAGCTCAGGTGTACATGGCTGGTGCCTTAGCCGCTTGAACCACAGGTGCTGAGCCTATTCTGAGCCTTAAGAGGAATTCTGCTAGGCAGCCTGAGTCATGTGGCATGCAGCTGTCACTTCTGCCTTTGTTTCCCCTGTAGATTTTTATAATTAGATAAGACGCCCTTGGATCATTGTCCCTCTTCAAGGAAGAGTAATAAGTTATTCCTTGTTGGAATGCAGCAATCTGTAACCAAGCAGATCCCTGTGCCTTATGTACTGGTCTTGCACGGAAAATGTTATAATCCCAAAACTTCTCTGTTTCTACCTACATAAGTGAAACTTCTCCATTTTGGAACACCAATGCCATTTGTTTAAAGTCAGTGTTTCCATATGGCAACCCTCAAGCTTTGCATTCAAATAAACTCCATATTTAATCACATTCTCCGAATCCCATTATTAATGGTTTACTTATGAAAAATGTCCAGTATAGTATAAATCTGATATTATTTGATTGCCTATCTTACACACACATTGTAAGTTCCATTAAGGCAGGTGACTCTTTTGTTTGTAACTGTATCCGTAGGAAACACTTGATAATTATTTATGACTTAATAAATGACTTAGGTGATAAAGGTATTTCACTCAGGGTCTCTCTTACTTTCTACTGTAAATTGACTAAAATTCACCATTGCTACTCCTAAATATTCAATATGTAGTTTTCAAATTAAAGTTCCCATATAACTGAGCTGAGTAGCTTAGGAAGCAACTTACATCAGAGATGCAAATGAGATTGTTAGCATTGCAATAACTCCAAGGATATATTCTCTCCAGCATGATTCCCAGGCCTAGTGAAGAGGCTTGAGCCAGGTGGCTCAGACCCAGGCAGGCCAGAAGTCCTGGTACTGGGGACAGAACGTCCTCCACCTGCTTCCATTCTCCTAACCTTGTTAGGGGGGTGCTTGGATCAGTTACCCAGCATGTGGTAGGGAGGAAGCCAGGTGGCATCTCACAGGTTTATTCAGGGGGGTGTGTAGGAGGTGTGACTATGAGGCATGAGCTATCTTGTGCTCCATGAGAGGCATAGAACAAAAAATGTTTGGAAGAGAGTGAGAGAGAGAGAAAGGAACCCACAAGCTACTTTTCTCCCTCTGTCCTTATTCATTTATCAATCATTTATTAAATGTGTACTGTGTTATAGACACTAAAACAGATGCTGTGCATACAAAGACAAAATAGATGCCTTCACTGCCCTCAGAGGGCTGACTTACAATTGAGTAGAGAGACGGAACAGTCAATGGTTTTCCAACATCAGTGTTATATAAGAATAACCAAGAGAATTTTTCCTTTTTAACTTATTTTTTTTACCCTAACCCTAATCTGTCGTATCTGTCTTAGTGCCAAATACTCAGGAGGCAAAGAATCATGTTTTTAACTTTTTATTGAAAAATAACACATTTACAGAAAAGTATGCATATCCTACAAAGATCAATTAATGTTTTATAAATGAACACCCGGTGGAACGGGCAACTGAGCAAGAAACAGAACATTACCTATAACCTAGGACATTTCTGAGGCACACATTCTGCATCCATGTCCGTAGAGTGATCCATAGGTGATGATGATGAAAATGAAGATGATAATGATGATAAATTTTTTTTTTTTTAGAGACAGAAAAAAAAAAATTGTTACCCTCGGTAGAGTACTGTGACGTCACAGTAACCTCCAGCTCTTGTGCTTAGGCAAGTCTCTTGCCTCTGCCTCCTGAGTAGCTGGGACTACAGGTGCCCACCAGAACACCCAGCTATTTTTTGTTCTTGTTGCAGTTTGGCCGGTTCAAACCTACCACCTTCAGTATATGGGGCCGTGCCCTACTCATTGAACCACAGGTGACACCCAATAGTAGCTTTTTAAGAAGCAAGAAACGTGATACAGATAATCTTTGTCTGGAGAAACAATAACGAAAGCAAAGTGTGTCATCTATGCTGCCAAAGGTAACTCCAGAGGACTTCAGAGAGTGAGTGTCCATAGAGTAGGGAAGGGAGCAGGGGATAGGTGCTGCTCACGTGCATATTAAAATGGACTTCAGGGAGGAAATGACTTCTAAACTGAATTGTGAATAATCATGGGCTTTTTTCAGGTGAAAAGAGAGAGAAGGTTTAAGAGAATCCATTTTGAAGTGAAGGAGCCAAGACTCTGTGGGTGGATTTCAAACAACCTGGCATGTTTGGGAAACTGCCAGTTGAGCAAGGATGAAGAAGAGTCTAGGAAAGGAAAAGGTTAGTGATAATGGCTGAAAAGCTTAGATAGGGTCCACATCTCAGATGGCTTTCTCCACCATAGGATAAAGCTTGCACTTTTTTTTTTTTTGAGACAGAGCCTCAAGCTGTCCCCCTGGGTAGAGTGCTGTGGCATTACAGCTCACAGCAACCTCCAACTCCTGGGCTCTAGCGAGTCTCCTGCCTCCGCCTCCCAAGTAGCTGGGACCACAGGCGCCCACCACAAAACCCGGCTATTTTTTGGTTGCAGCCATCAT